CTTCATTTAGTTCAATTCACAAGTGACTGCAGAAAAAGCATAATTTCTTTTAATGACTTCAAGGTCGGAAAACATGTATCATATTTCATAAGTGTATTATAGAACGCTGGAACGATTCGGCAGAGAAATACTATTGTGTCATTGTATTCCTTATATAAAATACATCAGTGTATAACATTAGCATTCAGATATTGTTATAAAATAAGTTTAAAATTCCAAACATCATCGTGTAAAATGACAATGTTCGCTGTGACAAAAAGGGTTTCGATATTCAAATATAAAATTTAATCAAAGTGGCTACGAAGTAGGCCTGCATATCACTCACAACTCACAACGTTTCGCAAAGGCCGGTATTGAGACGCCAATTACATCACATATATTTCATATTCAGGGACGACAAATGCATCACTGAATTCTAAGGCTGGGACGGGTACTACGGTACTCCAATCCGGGTCGGGTACAGCTGGAATCGAGTCCTATTTCTAGGAATCGGGTACCCGGAAAGGGAGAGAGCTCTGTAATGACAAGGGCAGACAATAGCTTGTCTTTTTCGTTTTTGACGTAACACACATATACATCATTGAGTGAGTGAGTGAGTGAGTGAGTTTAGTTTTACGCCGCACTCAGCAATATTTCAGCTATATGGCGGCGCTCTGTAAATAATCGAGTCTGGAACAGACAATCCAGTGATCAACAACATCGATCTGTGCAATTGGGATACGATGACATGTGTCAACCAAGTCAGCGAGTCTGACCACCCGATCCCGTTATTCGCCTCTTACGACAAGCATGGGTTACTGAAGATCAATATTCTAACCCGGAAATTCAAGGGTTTTTACATCATTGGTATTGTCCGATTAATGGAGCATAGTTTTAATGACTGTAATTTATCTGTGCATGAGCAGTGAGTAGTTAAGTTAAGTAGCAGCAGGAACGAAACGTTCGTTGTTATAACGAGGAATGTAAGTAATGGTGTTACTCTCTATATTGGTTAAACAGACGTAAATTAAATAGCTTGAGGTCAGTTTTAATGTCTTATTACCACTTTTTCAAGTTTTCTATAATAGTCTCTGTTAAAGCGTGATTGAATATTCAGAGGTTGACCCGAATATTGTATTTCTTACATTTCCGGGTACTCGATATCGATTCGGGTAAGTACATGCGGGTACTCGATTCCCTTTTTTCCTACTCGTCCCAGCCCTACTGAATTCCTCATACATTTTAGAATCTAATTACAACTGGTCTTTGTCACCAATACCAAGTGTCTAGATAAACTGAAACGAAAGATATTGAAGGTGGAAACAAATGCTGTGCTCGAAAGACAACACCTGTTTGAAAGAAAATTCAGACTTTATACTGTGTAGCATTTTCTCAATTTTCAGACACCCATTTGCATGGAAAGAGCATAGTAGCAAGAAATAGGAAATTAAAAATAGATGCAATACAGGAATGTGATGTGTTTATACGAAACTGTTAAGTTTCTGTGCAGAGTGACGCCATGACTGACGCAAAATCACGCAGAACGACAACGGTAATAATCGGCATTTCTGGCCGCTTCTTCTCTTTCTTAAAATGAAAACGATAAAAACACGTAACAATACACAGATAGTCAGAATCATTTTGATTACTTACATCTCATATTTATGTACAAACGATGCCTGAATCAAGGGAAGGCCATTTTTTAAAGAAATCTCAACGGTAGTGATGTCATACGTCAACATTCTCTGAGGTGAAGGTCGGTAGAATAAGAGTATACACAATCACCATATCCCGCCGATTACACTTTCAGTATCATAATGTAATCATTCGGATATTTTTTGATGAAACTAATTTAATTATCTACATTTAGTCTTGTTCACTATCATATCATACGTGGGTATAGGGTGTACGTGTTTGATTCTTTGAAAGTGTTTGTTTGAATAATATTTACAGAAGAATTTCACACATTTAGTGTAGTAAAACATATATAAACCTTTACACAAGTGTTAAAAGATGAAACGTAGGCATCATGTTCTTGTACAACATGTATTTTAGTTCCTATGAAGTGCATAGTTACAGTTTCGTATGTAACTCTTCGTCAGAATAATTTCCAGTATCTAAGTCCAGTCCACGATACACCCTATCCTTTCTTTGCTGAACTGGCATCATGAAAGCAGTGTTAGCCATGAACGTCATTTGCGAGTTAACCACACTGTTAAAAAGTTAGCGGCGGTCCTTAGGTGTAACTTAACGTAACGTTAACAACCTGTTTAAAGTTAACAGAGTTTTGAACAACAAGATAATCCTCTGTTATTAGTTAACGGTCGGTTAAATGTACTTAACGGCTGGTTAAAAAGATAACCGAGTTTTGAACAACCGGGCCCAGATCCCTAAGCCATTCGACCGACCCAAAGCATTGATGAAAGTTAAGTTATATAACAAAAGTCCCTAAGCCGTATAATATATACTCTTCCAAAAAAGAAATGTATAGGTGTTATTGATGCATGAAATTTCAAACGTGCAAGTTTCCGAAGTTTCCGAAGATGTGATTTCGCGCTGTACACAAATCAGCATTATAATGGCGAAATAATAACAATCAAACACTAATTTTGAAAAATATTTGAATATTACACCTGGACGTTTTTACCTTACTGCACAAACCCCATTAATTGTCTCAGTGAATTTTATTCATGGTAACATGTTCAACTTCTCATGGACTCCCAGAAGAAAAGCAGATAGTTCGATAACATGACATAAATTCTTTATTTTTGCAGATTCCCATAAATCAGGTTTATCTGAAAGAACCTTTAATGACACGTTATGGCTTAGGATTTGAAGAACGCATTTCTCGCATCCTCGGTTTACACCTGTGATAATAGATTTAGATTTTTAAAATCAGAATGAATAAGGGATCAAAACAATTCACAGTTGCTTATTACTCAGTAAGACAAGAAAAGAGGACTATCGGGCTGAAAGTGAATAAACTACCACTGAACAAGCCACTCATTATCAGTTGCATAGCAACGACTCAATTACGCCCTATAACACACAACTCAGACTCCTGTGATGATGCTGTGTTTATTGGTCACTAGTAATTGCTAAAACAGGGTCGATATTCATACTTACAGTGGAATCTAATTAACTCGTGGCCGTCTTGTACCCTTCCTCTGATAAATCGAAGTCGGATACCCCGAGAAAGGTGAGGTTACAGTGGCCCAGTATTCTGAGGTTCTGCCATCCTCTAAGGAGAGTTGCATCACTTTGGCGTGACATGATCCTACGATCGTTGTTTCGAATCTGCATATATTTCTAGTAGGGCTGGGACGGGTAACCCGGATACCCGGGACGGGTGGGTAATGAGTTGGACCCGGGTACCCGTCTCAATACCCAGACCCGTGACGATCATGTGACTAATAGATTGAACAATGTAATATGTTATTCTTTCATGATTAAAAGGTTGTATTGTCTTTGAAGATTTAGGCATAATTTACAGTCACTTCTTTTGAATATAATACATAGTTAAGATTTTGAAAAACTCGAATTTTTAGCCTCCGAGCTGAAGAATATATTACCCTTTCTTGCTTATTTGATGTCAGGAATTAACATAACGGGTATCCGGGTAGGGTAGGGTAATAGGGGGTAGGGTACCCGGGTAGAAAATTTGGACCCGCCCCAGCCCTAGTTTCTAGATTTGTGGGCGCCATACTTGACAATTTTGACATAGAGTGGTATCGGTGGCATAATGTTGAGAGAGAGGTTAGTTCACACTTACCCGTTCCATCGGATAGGGCATCTAAACACACAGCAGAGTTACCGTTATGTGATCATGTATTACTGTTTCTTTGTTTTGCCAGGTACAATATCAAAACATGACGCGTTTCATCTCTTTCTTTATTGATACTCACGTTCTGTAGTTCCATTTCAAGTCAAGTTGGTTATTAACACTTCATAATTAAAACAGCAGAGCTAAAGAATATATTTCGTACCGTAAATCAGTTAGCATAAGTACTTTAGCTGTTTATCGAAAGGAACGTGTAACATATGTTGACACTTTCTTTGTAAAGTACAAATTCTAGTACTTTTTGGGTTGAGTCCCATCCGGGATTCGAACCCCCACCCTCAGAGTCAGGCACCTAATCGCCAGCACACAAAGTGAGCCGCCTAACCCGCTCAGCCACCGAAAGGAAGGTGTTTCAAACATATATCGGTGGTGGACCATTGCCCACTGACTGTAATGGGTCACCTAATCAACAAACTATATTTTTTCAGTTTTAATTAATGAATAGTTGGTGATGCAAACAACATATTTTCTGTGAAAATATTATGAATATTATTTCGCCTGTTTGTTTGGTCTGTCAACCCGCTCTCAACTACCTTCCCGCTCTTTAAGGCAGACTGTAAATGACCGAGTCTGAATAATCCAGTGACAGACATTATGGAAATGTCACTGTTTGTGTGCGATGCTTGGTATGACATGCATAGTTTGGTGCGGGACCACTTCCATTCCGGATTCCCCTCAAGAGGATACATTTCACCCCTGGGCGATGTGAGATCACGTCAATGATCACATGATTATGACGAAGAGATTCAGTTACAATACTCTGATAAATAGTCAGTGCGTAAAATATGATTCTCTTTTCCCACACTTTAGTCATTTTACAAATTAACTAAAAATCTATCCCTCCGTTTCAAAGATGGATTAAAACATTAAGGTCTAAGAACGTCACAATATGCCAATTATACTAGTATCAAGAAATATACATATACATTGATTTTCGTCTTCTTTTATTCCTATTATTTTGACATTCAACATCAAATATGTTTGAGTTGATCTTTCACAATAACATTACTGGACAGAATGTTCAGTCAAATTTCTAAAGTGACTGAAGACGTGAGGCATTTTGTACATTTACGGTGTAAAATGTTACACACTGGCAGGAACAAATATACCACTAGTCAGAACGGTATGGGTGCAATTACCGTGTAAAGATAACTAACTGATATATTATTTCTTTTTTCAGGTCGGTCGCTTGATGAGGGTGTCCTGCGGAGGTCTCATCGGAATATCTGTGATGTCCGTCATTGTGATGGTTGTCGGTGTTGTCGTCTGCTTCCTTCCCGCCAAAACTAACAGAGTTGCGCCAGTTCCAGATGACAATAATCTCGTCCATAACCACAGATGACAATGAGACAGGTCGTGGATCAGTTATCGTCAACAAAGTTTGAAAGTGGTTAAACAAACACGTTGGCACCTCGTGGTGTGGGGTGAAATGAAATGTGCTTGAAAGTCGGATCCAAAATGTTTGCACTTTTAAAGCGAAGTGTGCCTCTGCTTGCACTGGTCCGGGTTGATGTCAGTGCTCTAGTGTTTGCCACTGCGATACAATGCCGGAGTTAACGTGGGTACCCGACATGTATACTGACTCAGAGCCGACCAGGCAGTGCTTTATCGCCTTAATGCAGAGCTCCAGGCAGGTACCACGTACCATGTTTTAACGTCTTTTGTTTTGACGTTTCCTGGGACAGCACTTCCGACCTTCTGCTCCTCGGACAGACACTCGACGTTGTCCACAACCCCATGGAAGTGACCAGAGGTAGCACAGGGGTGTCTTGTCAAGCACTGCCAATGGGGTGAATGTGAATGGGATGACGTTTACCATTTATACGCCCCTTGTGGAAAGTAAAGAGTGAATCACCATTGATTCTATAACCTGCATTGGAGGGTCATTCTAATATATGATTCTGGAGTTGAATGGACACTGTTAACAGAAGCCCTTAGTGTGGAATATAACAATTCTACACAGCATTTTCACATTGTATAGTTTATTGTATCCAAACCCATTTATGTTCTTTGGTTTCTGGAGGTGAAGAACTTTCCATGTGAGATTGAATGGATATCGGTGAAGGCAGGTGAAAACAGTATTGCTAAACGATGGAGATGTTGATATATAATGTGTGAGAAAATCACTGCACCAATGCCATATGTATTGCACATTAAACACCCAGATGACAATAATATAATCGCAGATACAAATTATCGTAAATTCATCAGATTTCCATTTAACAATTTTCTCACCGCGTATATAGATGTTGACAGTGTTCATGCTTTCTCATATATATATATATATATATACTTCCCATCAAAAGTTTAGACTCACTTATAACACTCACTATATGTTAGAAGTATGTGTGTGTACATATGTATGTATGTACATATGTATGTATGTATTTATGTATGTATGTATGTATGTATGTATGTATGTATGTATGTATGTATGTATGTATGTATGTATGTATGTATGTATGTATGTATGTATGTATGTATGTATGTATGTATGTATGTATGTATATGTATATGTTTGTATGTATGTATGTATGTATGTATGTATGTATGTATGTATGTATGTATGTATGTATGTATGTATGTATGTATGTATGTGTGTTTGTGTATGTATGTATGTATATGTTTGTATATGTATGTGTGTATGTATGTATGTATGTATGTTCTTATGTATGTATGTATGTATGTATGTATGTATGTATGTATGTATGTATGTATGTATGTATGTATGTATGTATGTATACATATATATATATATGCTTACATCAAAGATTGATTTTTCTACTAACTTAGTGGAACCAACTGCAAACCTAATGCAGATGAATTTCACGAGGATCATGCATGAAATTGCTGGAAAGCATGTGCAAATATCGGGCAAGTGAACAGCTGCGTTTTGGTGTAAAGTCTTGTTATACATTCGCCAATTTTCAATGATTTTTATCATTTATTGAACTCATTACAATAATCTTTTCAACGTTACGAATTTGTTTTACAATACATAAGTTCATGTGTAAACAATACCTTTAAACAGTATGGACTATTTTGCAAGATTTAGTTTAGAACAGCTGCCTGAAGAAAGTGGCTATATTTACACTAGTGAGTCTAAACCTTTGATGGGTAGTATATGTATAGAGAGGTACGTCAAGTTTCTTTTGTACGTCAGTTTAGATATTCGTTGCTGCTGTATTTGATGTGGCCATCAGAGCTGTGTTTTGAACCTTGCGTGTGTAGTGTTTTGGCGACTTTTTCCAATCCATAACGTTTTCACAACATTTGCATTTTTAATTAAAATTAAAATTTTAAGTGCATACAGTATATTTATATTGTTCTCGAGAGCATGTAAACTGAAAAATCAATATACGCGGTACAATATACTATATTATATTTTTAGGGCAGGCGTGCGATGACACCACCTTTCTGTACACAATATACTAGTAAATAAAACACCAGAAAACCACATTTCTGATTCATCAGCCGAAACTGATTTACTTTTGTGCAAAAGTCAAAATAATTACGAAAATTATAAAAAAGAATCATTGAAAACCAGGACTTAAGCCAGGCGTTCAGAAAGACACAGAAGCATTATGTGACACAAAATATTCATTGTCAGTCTGAGAACAGTCGAAGTGATGTATATGCTTATCAAGCGCAAATCTTGTTCCTTATGCGCATATATAAGGTGATTACAATGAAATATTCATAATCGTATTATATATCAAACGCAAATGCCTAATGGGTATTCTTAAGTGAAATGGGCGTCAAAACAATGTGCTAGCGGAATACCTTTCACCCAACACTCATGAGTCATTGTGAAATGAACACTGATCCTGTATTGTCACACGAGTGAGTGAGCGAGTATGGTTTTACGCCGCTTTTATCAATATTCCAGCAATATCACGGCGGGATACACCAGAAATGGGCTTCACGCATTGTACCCATATGGGGAATGAAACCCGGGTCTTCAGCGTGGAGAATGAACGCTTTAACCACTTGGCTACCCCAACCCCCTGTCACATGAAATGTAAGTGGTGGTGGTACCGGTAATGGAATGTAGGACAGGGCGATCTTACCATGATGATGTCATCATTGATTCTCTGTGACCGAATCCCGTACATTTCATCACCGTATATTCCCTAAGCGTGATATGTCCTATATACTGGAATGGAATTCGTGAATTCTTGATTTTTGGTGTTGATGTTTTGAATTCTTGAAATTGGTCAGTTGCGCTTTGCGTCGTGCCTTGTGGCAGGTTGCTATCATTTAGTCGACTGATAATGTTAAGATAATGTTCTCCGATTCAAGTTGATCAGGTACGTGGTATGTTCATTTCGCTGTGAATACAAAAGCACCGCTTTAGATATTTGGCATGAACAGTGAGTGCATTGCATGTAAAGCCGTACTGGAATCGCTGCCTGTAAATGATCGAGTCTGGACTAGACAAACCAGGTGTTGATATTATGAACATGGTTCCACCCCGACGGAGTATGGTGACACAGGAGACACAGGTGTGTTATAATGGTTTAATAATTCATTTACCAAGCTTGTCAAAATGTTCAGTGATGGTGAAATTATGGGCCTTTGAAATATATCACATGTTTCCTGTTAGTATTTTATCAAGGAAACACTGTCAAGCATTGGTGATTGTCGCCATCATGCACGAACCAAGTTTTGGGCGGAAGATGGATTGTCCCAGCCTTCAATATATATATCTCAATATATCTTGCTGCATAATATAGATGGGACTTTTATGGTTTGGGAAATAGAGTACTCAAATGATGTCAAGGGATATCCGATTCTTTCATATCACTACAGGTAATCTGTCAGGGCGTCCTGAAAGAAAGGGCGTTATAGCCTTCAAATTAGACTAATGCTTTATCTCTGAATATGTATAATTTTGATGGTAACAAACAAGCCCATTTAAATTGAGCCCTAGGGAGACCAGAGATTCAGAACCTAAGGGAATCTAGACTTGCTTTATTTAGGGCTTTAGCACTGCAGATAGGGCTTGGGAAAATAGGGAAAATAATGTGGTTCAGGGACTGTGAGACAGACTATATTCAAATGTGTAATATGAATATGAAATACACTATTCTTTGGATAGTAATATGACAGAATCAGGTAATCCTTAACTTTATTTGAGTAGTATGGTTGAAGGATGTGCATAAATGACATTTTGGGTTCCATACCAGATAATTTGTAAGAATATTTGTTTAATGGGCGGGAGCCTGGTCTTGAGCATGTCTGAAGAGTCTTCTCTGCTGATGTTATAGTATTTGAAATATGTCAAGTACTGAACATAATACAATCAAATATTGAACATAGGTGGTGTGTACGTAGAAGAGAAATATAATGATGTACTCTTTATTTAACCACGTCAGTTTGATATTTGTGTTGGGGATATTGATCGCTATCTACAGATGGTGCCCAGTGACAGTTTGAAATCATGCATAATATTGATAAATATCCTATCATAGCAATATAGAATGCACTATATTTTCTGTAACAGAGATGTTTAATTTTCTAATGAATATATGTACGATGTGGTTTGTTCAAGGCAATTAAGAACAAGAAACCATGAAATGGGTTACGCATTTGTCTTTGTGAATATACATTTGATAGGAAACTACAACCAACATCTGTCACTTTCGAAATTAACTAATTTTCTGTGGCAGGTTTCGCTATGAATATTAATGTTAATATGAAAAAATTGTTGAAAATTCTAAAGCTCTAACATAAAAATACGTTGATTATATTCCTATGTATCATTTTGGCAATTTTAAAAACAGCTGATTCAAAGCGTAGTGATATTTTTGACGATGTTCTGCACTGGAATTAAGAATACTGAAAACTTGGACAAGACAGTTTTCTAAAGGTCCTGTTAAGCAATGTTTTTGTTCCGATACATGTAACATATTTCCCGTGTTGTTTCAGATCTTGTACACAATTGTCTTGCCTTTGCATGTATTTGTGACGCGTGCCACCATGATACGTTCATCTTTCAACATTACTATTTGATAGTGATTAATACCTGTGATATAGTTGGAATCATATAACTGACTCTTGGCAGAGCTTGCTTATCATTGTTCAAGCAGTGTGTGGCTCTCATTTACGCACGTTATGTGGTCTGAAGATACTGTGAAGAGTTGTGACTTGGTGTGAAACTGCAGACATTAAAAACATCATCGAGTCCAGATTCCCTGTTTTAACAATTTGCTGTTGAGTGCACTATCAATGAATGTTCAATACAGTCACTCATCATTTATTATGAATATTCATGCAATATTCGATAAATTCATACAGTTACCGTCATTATTTGTTTAAGTTTATTTGACAATGTTGTATCTATAACATGTTTATAAGATTAAAGATATGACACTGTATGTCTGGTTGTTGATTACAGGAAGCCATGTAGATACACCCGTGAAGATCTGGTTTAGAATTGGTCTTCAGCAACCCATGCTTGTCGGGTGGTCAGGCTCGCTGACTTGGTTGGCACATGTCATCGTATCCCAATTGCGTAGATCAGTGCTCATGCTGTTGATCACTGGACTGTCTGGTCCAGACTAATTATTTTTAGACCGCCGCCCTATAGCTGAAATGTTGCTGAGTGCGGCGTTAAACAACAAACCAACCAAACCAAAACCATACCGATACCGTTCTGTACATACCGTACCGTTAAAACTATACTCTTCAAAAAAAGAAACTTGACATGCTGTTTTGGAGTTTACTTACTGAGTGCATATAATTGATTCAAACATGACACCATTGCTCAGTTACAGTAAAATCATCATTTGACACATTTCCAAAACATGACTATCCAGAAAGTGTTTGGTAAAATCACAGAGGGCTATTAAAGCCACTTGGACAGAGTATAATGTCAGTATCTGGTGTGACCCATAAAAGAAGATGCGTAGTGCTGTCTTGAGGAACACTTGCTGAAGTGATGTGTGCACTTCTTGTAGTGTCTGGGGTAGCGGATTACGCTGGCGCAACCGTCGATCAAGAGTATCCCATAGATGTTCAATGGGGGACAAATACGGTATTCGAGAAGGCCAAGGTAACAACTGAACATTGTTTGACCTGTCAAACACGTGCAACGTGAGGTCGAGCATTGTCATGCTCCAAAGATCACGTTGATGTAGGGAACAACGTGACGTTGAACTGGTCTTCTGGCAAATATCGCACTGTCTGGTCGGAGATTAGGAGCAGTCCACGGATTTGGATTGTTGTGGATGATGCGGCCGTGGTGTTTGAACGAAAATGTCTCAACGATCCTGTAGCGATCCTGGGTGGCGGTGGTAACTCCAGGTCGACCTGACCTGG